ATTCTCCAAAATCAACCCATGATGAAATCTAGGAAGTCAGTTACTGACAGTCGTTCCTGTCAAGATTACGATGACAGGAACGACGACCTCCCCGAAGATGACTACCGGTGAAGAAGACTTCCGCAAGGACGACTTCCCCGTAGACGACTACTACGAACCACGACTCGACGACCTTGCCTCGTAAAACGACTTCCCGTAGACGACTACGACGAACACGACTACGACGACTTGCCCGTAGACGACTTCCCGTAGACGACTACGACGACTACAACAACTTCCGCGAAGACGACTACGACGACTATGACGACTACAATGACTTCCGCGGAGATGACTACGACGACTACAACGGCAACAGCGAAGACTACGGCAAAAAAGACAACGTCAGCAAAGGCGACAATAGCGGCAAAAAAGACAACGTCAGCAAAGGCGACAATAGCGGCAATAGCGACAATGGCGGCAAAGACAACAGCGATGACTACACTTCTTTAAAAGTCTTTCTCGGTAGAGCCATGGAGAAATCCCTGAAAAGTAAAAATGGTCACCTGGACCTGTTTGTTCGCTTCCTTCATGGACTGTCTCTGAAGTCAAACCAGGGGCTCGTAGGAGGCCTGCTGGGTCAGACAGACAACAGTCCAGAAATGATCCAAGGAGTAATCAACAACCTGAAGGAGAAGAACAGTAGAGATATCTCTCCTGACAGAAGCATCAACATCTTCCACTGCTGATGGAGATGAAGGACCTCTCAGTCCATCAGGAGATCCAAGAGTTCTTGAAGTCAGAGAACAGATTAGAAAAGGAACTCTCTGAGATCCACTGCTCTGCTCTGGCCTACATGCTGCAGATGTCTGAGGAGGTTCTGAATGAGTTGGACCTGAAGAAGTACAGACATCAGCAGGGACGATTGAGACTGATTCCAGCTGTGAGGAACTGCAGGATGGCAAAGTAAGTCCAGATGTTTAGAGCATTAATAAATCAGTGTCATGTACTAATTCACTTATTCTAAAACTAAACAAAATCTTCACTGTTCCCCAATAGTGTTCGACTGTTAATGTTCAGGAGAAATAGTCAGTCGAAGTTTTTATTTTTATTGCCCTGAGTTCAAAAAGTGCTTTGATAGTTTTTTTTGTGAACACATTCAGGAGGGAATTCCCAAAGAACTGACTGAGATGGCTGATAGTGTTGATCCCTGAAAAGGGAGATATCAGATGCTATGGGCCCCTTCCACATCTGCCAGCCTAGCAGCCCTCATGCATGGGTCCTGTGAGAGACCCTCCTTTAGATGTTCAATACCAAGGCATGAATGGCAACGATCGTGGCAATCCTCAGGATTGAACAGGGCCATATAGTGTAGCACAGTTATGAGAATTCATCCTAGCGGCTATGTCCGATGAAGAGGACTGGTGAGTCAGGCAGAGTGAGAGCACTCCACTGACTGAAATATCCAAATCAGCAAGTGACGATAGTCTAGCTAAAGTTAGCCTGAGCAAGAGCACTTCACCTAAGTGTGAGAATGTGAGGCAAAATCAATATTACACTACTACAGCAAGAGGGGAGCGAAAGCACGCTCTTCACAGATACTTTAACCAGTATGTAACACACACATATATACATATATATATATATATATATATATATATATATATATATATATATATATATCAAAAAAAAAACACCTATTGAACTTGCTCATGTTAGCACACCATCAGTTAGCCTGAGCGGGAGCACTCTGTTTCTCCTTGGAAAGAGACAGCTTGTCGCAGCCTTTGGGGGGCTTACAATACAATCCGCTGCTCTGACCGTATGGTCACAAGGCTAAAGGCAACACATTCTTGTTAAAGTTAGGTTATTCGATGCTATTCGATCAACTCAATGCTACTACAGTGACCTGCGTAAGAGAGAAGATGATAGGGAATGAGTGCTCAGATGACACCGGTAGTTATACCTGTACGGGGGTCATCAGAGGTCACACATTACTTTGGTATGAATACTCGACCTGCGCAAGATGAGATATTCAGTGAGAAGGACTGCCTGCTCCTGCATCAACATGTTCGATTTGTCCTTGGGCAAGACACTTAACCCCAAATTTCTCTCGCTACCTCGTCGGTGGCGTATGAATGCGTATGAATGGGATTAGTTACTTCTGATGGACTCCCTACATAGCAACCTCTGCCATCAGTGTTTGACATACGGTGTAAAAGCGCTTTGAGTAGTCAGAAGACTAGAAAAGAGCGATATAAGCTCAAGTCCATTTCCCATTTAATTTGAGTTTTGTGTCAGTGACAGATTCCACTGATGTGTAAAGTTAAGACCAAACAGGACATGACAAACTGTTTAATCATCAAATGTGAGACATACTATATATCAAACACTTCTTCTATGAGTCACATTTCTCTATTTTATGTGTCACAACAGACTTTCTGGCTGTGGACTCTCAGAGACTCACTGTGACGTCATAGCCTCAGCTTTGAAGTCCAACCCCTCCCACCTCAGAGAGCTGGACATGAGTCGGAACAACGACCTGAAGGATTCAGTCGTGAAGCTACTGGCTGGACTGGAGAGTCCAAACTGCAGACTGGAGACTCTGAGGTCAGATCACTGACTGTATAATATATATTGTCTGTCATAGAAACTGTGTTTTAATTTATTAAAGGTTAGCCCTTGAGCTGCATCGTCTATCTTTAAGGGCGTCCTAACACAAATATAAAGTAATACACAAACATCCAAAACAGCATTACTTAACAGACACACTTACAATCACACAAATACAGACTGACTGAACAGTATGTAGAGTGACTCAAAGGAGGGAAATGAAGTCTGTGATGGGATAGTTTTCTGTGTTCACAGACTCAACATTGTGCTCCATCAGTCGGAGTGTAACAGTCTGAATATTGTTGTAGTACCAAATAGCTCCACCAGGTAATGCCTCTGTTGTGTTCTGAGTGTGTGATAGAAAGAGTTGTTGATCTCTGACCTCCATCATCATGTGTGTAAGACAGTGAGAGACGGTATCCATCCATCTACTTTAATGAATGAAGTATCCAGTTGCGGCTTATAAAATGCAACAACACCTGCTGCCCCCCTCCCCCTCCCTGTATGTAAAGAGCCTTTTACCTGCACACAAATTAAAAAGAACCCTCCAGAGATCAAAATGTAAGCTGTATGCCAACAATAAAACAATTGACATTCACCATTCAAATACAAATTAACACACGCAGGAATAAGAATAAAACCCTTTATACAATTAAAATCACAGATTAAAATGAGACCTGTCCAATATAGAGCAGCCCTCTGTTACAGCTGCGCAGCAGCATTTATAAGGCAAGGTACAGCAGTGTAATTATTATTTAAGTGTCCAACAAGAGCTGTCTCTTTAAAACAGCTGTGCAACTAAAAGCTTTAAGTCCAGGAGTGTGCTTCCCCTCTGCTTACACTTTGTGACTATATGATCCGTAGTCTCGATAATATCAGAAGTATGTCTAGAATTCTTTGACACACGGCTAAACTAAGGTCAACTGTTAGCCTGGTCCGGAGCAGACTTGTTCCCTAGCATAGACTTGTTGAAATATGCGATGATTCTGCTTAATCCTGCTTCATGGAATGACTCCAAGCTATCCTGGGATTTCTGCTAATTGCTATCTGCAGCTAGCTTCTCCACCTGTACCAGCCACGTTACAAGATGATGTCAGTGCTGATGGTCCAGAGTGAACACCATCAGCTGGGTGGTGTGGTTATCATTCAAACAGAGCTAAGAGTCATAAACAGTCTTGTGCTGGAAATTTCTGTTAACAATGCAAAAGAAAGGATCATGAGTCAATCAATGTCTTCGTTTAGTTAAATTCTTCTTGCAAGTAGAAGGAACAAAGCTTCAGAGTGTCAATACAGTCTGAAGCTCGAAGTAATCACAATATGCTTGGGTACATGCTTCACAGAAAAACCTTCATGCCTATATAAGAATTGCTGATACAGGCGCAGTCAAATATCAAATACATTTCGTCATGACTTTTAACACGTCGCACAACAGTAATGTCAAGGAAACTTCAAGTCTGAGTATCGTTGATATTTAGCTATTTGTAAGCAACCTTCATCCTTGGGTAAAGAGAAAACAAGAATATTACGTATTAAATTATTGTTGCATTTCTCACGTGAGCTGTGAGTAAAATGTGTCCTGGACAGTTAACAGAATTTTTCCATTACACTAACACAGGCCACAGTGTCATACCAACGCAGGATTCAAGCTCTGATGAAGAGTCCAGAAAAAAACACAAAGGAGGCAGGTGGGACCAGTCAGAGAGTTGATCATTTAGAGCAAGTTTAGACTGAGTTTTTGTAACGTTTCTATATCCTGTCAAAGTATTCCAGATTTAGGAATCATCTTCATGCAGAGATTTCTGATAATGTGGAGAACAGCTTAAAACTACTCATGAAGATGAAAAACAACGTGCACATGAAGCCTCTGGTTTCCTCTGGTTCTGTTAAGAAGTGAAATCATGAAGACTTTGGATTAAATAATGTGTTGAGCTGACTGAGATCAGCAGCCTGTTCTTCATCTGTGTACATGAACAGCTGTATGAATGTTGTGCTGACATTTGGAGGATTTAGATTTAGTGAATACACAATCAGAAATGATCCTCTAATCATTTAGAGAAAACTTTATTCATCAGGACAAAGTGATGTTGACCTGAACACATGAGTGGATTATACATTATTTTTATTCTTCATTTATTCTTTATTCAGATTGAAGTACTGCAGTTTGTCAGAGATCAGCTGTTCTTCTCTGGCCTCAGCTCTGAAGTCCAACCCCTCACATCTCAGAAAGCTGGACCTGAGCGACAACAAAAAGCTGCAGGATTCAGGAGTGAAGCTGCTGTGTGATTATCTGCAGAGTCCAAACTGCAGACTGGAGACTCTGAGGTCAGATCACTTACTGTAATATATATATATATATATATATATATATATATATATATATATATATATAATATATATATATGTGTATATAATAGAAACTGTGTTTGAATTGATTCAAGGTTAGCACATTTGAGATGCATCGTCTCATCTTTAAGGGTGTGCAAGTCAGAGCCAAAGCCCCATTTCTTTTAATCATCACCAACATACACTGCTCAAACACACACACACACACACACACACACACACACACACACACACACACACACTCTGGAGGGAGCTCCAGCCACCACGCGTACCTGTTTACTTTAAGTTTAACAGAACAGAGTTGATCCGTACGGCAAGTCAGGAAAACCTGTGACCCGGTCAAACGGTCGGTCCGACTTTTCTCCGTTCACGCTCACCGTGTCTGCAGCTAACTTAGCGATAGCAACGTCATCTCACAGCCTGCTGTCTGAACTTTTCCACACAGACTCTGTGAAACAGTGCTGCGTTATAAACAAAGATATGTCGCTTGTAAATACACGCTCCACTTTTTACTTCCATCACATGCAGCAGGAACAGTCAGAGACACACCCAACTCCAATAATTAACAGTCTGCTTATATTAAGTGTTTGATATTATCAAAGTTAAATAAAATAAAAACTTTTTTGTGTATTAAAGCAGATTGATCATTATCAGATGGATATTTTGTTTTAGTTTGTAATGTTGTAATACAGGGGCGGTTAAGAGCTGACTGAGATCAGCAGCCTGTTCTTCATCTGTGCACATGAACAGCTGTATGAATGTTGTGCTGACATTTGGAGGATTTAGATTTAGCGAATACACAATCAGAAATGATCCTCTAAACATTTAGAGAAAACTTTATTCATCAGGACAAAGTGATGTTGAGATACTCATCACAACCTGAACACATGTGAGTGGATTATACATTATTTTTAATTTATTCTTTATTCAGGTTGAGTGAGTGCAGTTTGTCAGAGATCAGCTGTTCTTCTCTGGCCTCAGCTCTGAAAACCAATCCCTCCCATCTCAGAGAGCTGGACCTGAGTGGGAACGAGAAGCTGCAGGATTCAGGAGTGAAGCTGCTGTGTCAGGGACTGCAGAGTCCAAACTGCAGACTGGAGACTCTGAGGTCAGACACATTTTCTTTCTTTGAGTCTGTGCTACTATTCAACACCTCAGGAATGATGAACACTGTGTGAATCCTAACGTAAAAATAAGCTGAACACCATGAAACAAGCTAACATTAGCTCTGCTGAGATCAGCAGCCTGTTCTTCATCTGTATACATGAACAGCTGTATGAATGTTGTGCTGACATTTGGAGGATTTAGATAAAGTGGATACACAATCAGAAATGATCCTCTAATCATTTAGAGAAAACGTTATTCATCAGGACAAAGTGATGTTGACCGGAACACATGTGAGTGGATTATATAAATTATTTTTTTCTTCATTTATTCTTTATTCAGATTGAGGGGCTGCAGTTTGTCAGCGGTCAGCTGTTCTTCTCTGGCCTCAGTGAAAAGTCCAACCCCTCCCATCTCAGAGAGCTGGACCTGAGAGGGAATAACAAGTTGCAGGATTCAGATGTGAAGCTGCTGAGTGATCTTGAAAAGAATCCAAACTATCGACTGGAGACTCTGAGGTCAGACTCTTAGTGTTCTTAAGTAAACCCTCCACATATCAGGTCATACATATATTCAGATTCTTGTTGTTTTTTAGTTTTCCTCAGATTGCAGGGATCACAAAGACCTGATCTTCAGAGCATGAAGAGAGATGTGTTGAAACTTCTGTCTCTAGAAGAACATTGTTAGCAGCAGTTGAAAATGATTTATGATTTCTGTGATCTCTCTTCTTCTCTCATTAGCTTGCGATGGTGATCTCGTAATGTGAGCGATAAGGACGCTGGTGGTGCAGAGAGGAGCAGCTGTGTCCTGATGAGCCACAGAGGATGAACCTCCACCATCTTGTGGGTGGAGAAGCTCTGAAAGCTGAGGAGAGCTTCATCCATCAGGGACTGACAGAGGAATCACATCAGAGCTCATTTCAGTTATATTTCTAATGATAATAATAATAGAATCATTTGTTCTCCACACATTACAGGAGTGGAAGGTCAAACATGAAGCAGCTAGTAGAAATGTTAAGGGATCAAACTCTACCAAGAAATGCTGCAGTTATTCTTCTCGTGACAATTATTTTGATTCTATTTTTTACAAAAAGTACAAACCAGAACTTGATCATATGTAACATGTATTAAAGTAATCTTCTCTTTATAACCTCTTTAAAACATGCCCTGCACTCCTAAAATGTCCTGACCTCATCGGGCTGAGCTGCATGTGTGAATAGGAAGTGTCCTTTCACACTAAGTGATAATAAAACATAATGAACTTCAGAACACAGAGTTTGTGTCTTTTTTGTTTTCACTATCAGAATTGCTTCTTTATTGCCAAGTAGGCTACATTTACACATACAAGGAATCTGACCTGGTGTTTTAGTGCAAAACAATTAGCAAAGGACATAAAGCAAAAACAGCAAGAATTTAAGTTAAAGCTGCCCAAATAAATACTTATTCTTAAAGATGGAGTCGGTAGAAATGTTGGCTGCAGCTTGTAAACACAACATTCAAACTGGGCCCCTCATGTAATGTGTACGTTTACTGCTTGTAACTACACTGCAAGCTAGCACACAAGCTAACTGCTGGTGTTTGTCACCTGCCTGTCCAACAGGAAGCAGACCAACTCCACGTCCACGGCTAAAAGCCAACACAAGGTTCACCCTCGTTTTAGAATGAGTTTTATCCGCTTGGTGTTTCTCCTCACTGCTATTGGTTAAAACTGTAGCAGCCATGGCAACGACATTGATTGACATATTTAAAGACAAATCAGTGTTGTTAGCATGGTGTGTTGTTTTGGTTAAACCCGGGACATATTAGTGATTTATAGATATTTGTGGGGACTCGGGACTCAGAGCTTGTAAACGGGTCCCGGGTCAAATCAGGACGTGTGGTGGTCACCCTATTAATGCTAACTGTTGCCAACACGTTAGCTTGTTGCACGCTCCCAAAGAAGAAGTGCAGCTTATACAGCAGTTTTTAAAGAATACAGCTGAAACATATCCACCTCCATTCAGCACACACTATCCATACTGTAACATAAAATAAAGCAGAACATAACAAAGTGTTTTCTTGAAGCATTTATTGGTAAGAGTCCATAAAAAATGAACATGTCTTTGATATCTCTACATTTCCACCTTTCAAACAACCAGGAGAACAAATACTGAAGGAAACATCAAATGATGAACACCGGGATGAGAAATCTTTTACAAAAACACCCACGAGAGGTGGACACTCTGTCTCCTCTCTACTGAAGACGTCTCTCTCTTCTAGTCGTAAATAAGCGTCCTCTGAGCAGATTGACCTTCGCCTGTTCTTTTCTATTCACGCTATCACCCCAGTTATTGTTCCATCGTATCAAAAAACAAGACGGCTGCTTGAATTCTGCTCCGGCCTAAAATTCAAACACAAAATTAAAAAGACAAGAAGTCCAATCACGGGAGATTAAGTGTCTAAACGTGTCACTTTACATCCGTCGGGCCCACCCACAATAAATACAGCGATTAAAAAAAGCTTCACTACTAAAATGTTTCTTGGACAAAAACACAACATGAAGGTGAGATCTCTGCAGGCCGACCTCTGACCCCAACCCTAACCTGCACCACAATATTACACTAATCATGGATGGCGCTTCTGCCGACAACTATACATATTCATGTGTGTGTGTGTGTGTGTGTGTGTGTGTGTGTGTGTGTGTGTGTGTGTGTGTGTGTGTGTGTGTGTGTGTGTGTGTGTGTTTAAAAAAAGGCTCCGAGTCCACCAAACCGAGGGAAGTGTCGAGCAGCTCTTTTCTTTTTCGACTCGGCCTCCTTCGGCCACAGTTTCTTCCTCTTGGTGTCCGTGTGTCCTGAAACAGAAGAAGAGGAAACAGTGTCAGTAAATATGTTATCAAATATAATATGATGCAGTCCCTCTCTCTTATAAGACTCCTATAGAGGAGGGTTTATACGCTGCAACACAATGCTTAATATTTAATTTTCTTTAAGATGAATTAAACAACATTTGCTGGCTGTAAAATGTTTTTTTTAAAGTAGGAAGTAATGGAAAGACAAGTGCTCAACAGTGTGGTTCAGGAAGTAAAAACCTCGTTCATTTTCTCCATAGCCGATATTATTACTAGCAGTGATGTCATAACCACCACAGGTAGACTGACCACCAGCTAACACGGTTTATTCAAGATATCGGGGGAAAATAACTACACTACCCACGACCATAGAGTGTCACAGCTTCGTCTCTGATTGGTGGAGCTCGCTGTTACCATGGCAATGTTTCCCTCTCTGCAACATATGTGACAATAGTTTTGAAAGCTAACAGGAAAAGTGCTAATCACCTCGTTATGTTGCAGTGAATGTAATTTATATTTTCAACAACACAAGGTATTACAACACTTGAGTTCTCAGAATAAACACGATAACAACGACTTAATTTACATTTAAGAAGAAGAGGTATTATTCACAATGGATTGTGGGATGTGTAGTTCCTTGACTCAATTCTCCATTAATATGCTGCCTCTTGGCCAAATAATTGAACGCCACAATGTCTCCTTTCACTGCTACGCAGACGACACACAGATATACCTTCCTTTGAGACCTGAGGACCCTAGGAGCCTAGCTGCTGTCAGAAACTGCCTAAGCGATATCAACTGCTGGATGGCGCAAAACTTTCTCCAACTGAACAATTCTAAATCTGAAATCATAGTATTCAACCCGCCAAACACCACTCATATCTCAAAGAGCAGCCTCGGTCCCTTATTCACCAATGTCCAACCCACCGCCAGAAATCTAGGAGTAACATTCGATTGCAATCTCACCTTTGAATCCCATATCAAAACAGTTGTCCGATCAAGCTTCTTCCATCTACGCACCATCTCCAAAATTAAAACAATCCTAACCCAACGAGACCTTGAAAAGATCATCCACGCCCTCATCTTCTCCCGACTTGACTACTGTAACTCCCTCTTTTCCGGAATCACAAATAAGTCACTGTCTCGCCTCCAGCTGGTCCAAAATGCAGCAGCTAGGCTTCTTACTGGTTGTAACAGACGACATCACATCACTCCAATTTTAGCTTCATTACACTGGCTTCCTGTACGTTCTAGAATCGATTTTAAGATTTTACTCATTACTTTTAAAGCACGGACGGGGCTGGCTCCAAGCTATATAACAGAGTTACTGACACCATATGAGCCAGCCCGCAGTCTTAGATCCTCGGGTGGGAGCCTCCTGGTCGTTCCAAAGTCGAGACTTAAAAACTAAAGGTGACCGGGCCTTTTCAGTCAGGGCCCCTCGACTTGGAACGACCTCCCTGAGGAGATAAGACTCGCAGACTCCCTCAATTCTTTTAAATCCCTTCTTAAAACATACTTTTACAGACTTGCTTTTATGTGATGTCGTCTTCTTAATGTCTTCTCTTACTGGTTTTACTATTTTTATCTTCTTCTACTTCTTACTGTCTTTATTTATGGTCTTATCTCGTATTTATGCTCATATCTTAATCTCCTCTTGTGTTTTAAACTTGGTAATTTCTTATCTTACTTACTTTGTCTATTTATGTTTCGTATTTATAGTTAATTTTTATTTTTATTAATATTATAGTTTTGGGTTTTTTGATCCTTTAACCACTTGTTTTTATTTCCTTTACTGCGCTTACCTTCTCATTGCTTTTTATTTGCTTTTATCTCTTAGTTTCTTACATCTTTTTAAATCTTTGGTCCTCTTGGTCTCAGCTCATGTTGTTGGGTTCTTGTGTTCCTGGGTTCTTATGATGGTTCTTATGATGGTTCTTATGATGGTTGGGTTATATATGTCTGGTTGTGTATCGTGCACTTTGGGTTCTTTTCTGTTGAATTGTTTTTAATTATTTTTGGTATTTTGCATCTGTTATATTCTTACTGTTGTTAATGTTTTTCTGTGTTTAGTTTGCTTTGTTCTTGCTGTTTGTCAAAGCACTTTGTAAACCTGTGTTTTTAAAAGGTGCTATATAAATAAAGTTATTATTATTATTATTATTATTAATTATTATTTGAGTATTTGGGTGTCTGGATGGTAGAGGTGAGAACGGCAGAAAGGTTTACAGACCGATGCAGAGCTGGCTAAACACTGAAGCTTCAGTGTCCACCACATGGCAACCTGTGTGAGCATCGACTCTAGAGAGGAGGGGGGGAGACAGCTCTCTACAATGTTTAGAATTTGGACTGCACTACCCATTTTTAACACTAGGTGTCAGAGTTACATACTGCTCCTTTAAACTCTTACTTTCATTTTGCAGCGGAAGTTAAAAACATGTTTTCTGAGGAGCCGTACGAGTAGGGAGGTATGCATGTCTTTAAAGGGGAGCCGTGTGTGCGGGTAATTAATCAGCCTCTGCATTGGCGGGTGGGCGAACCTCTTGTTAGAGAGGGCGGAGTTCCTCAGGTAGCGCTGGTGCAGGGCGATTCCGGGGAGTGCGTTCTGCCTGCGGCGACGGAAGTCTTCGTCCAAGGAGTCTTCAGTTTTTTTCTGTCTGCCGACGTCTGTGGGTGTGAGCAGAGCACAGCAGAGTGGGTGTTCAAAGCAACATTTAATCTGTATTCATCTATTTATTTCTACTTGGCGCCCAAGATTTTCAGATCTCATCGCCATTGTGTCATGTAATTAAGGCGGTTGAGAGGAGAATAAAGGGGGCCAGATGCTCGCCCCCCTGCTTGAACCTGGTCCTTGTTTAGAGGAGGAGCTAGAGCAGCATTTCTGAAAGTGTCATAGCAGGTCCTTAAAGGCATCACCAGTTTTTAGAGACCCGGAAGTAGGGGATCCCAACGCATTTTAATGGAGCCCCCCGACTTGTGTCTAAAAAAAGCTGACCCTCAAGGACCCACATTGAAAAAATACATTGCTGTCAAAAGTGAACATCAATTGTAGGTGTTTCCGTTGGTGCAGTCCCGACAGAAGAGGCCGACAGACTTGTCCTATAAGACGTTTGTTATGAGGAGGAACTCAAACTCATCTCCATCCTGACACAGATTAAGTTGATTTGACTTTATATTGTTGCTGTTGTGATGCCTCGTGTTGTCATGTTGATAGTGGATGGAGCACTGTAAATAATCAGATACTAGTTGAAAAATGCTAAACCTCTGTGGATCCAGCAGAGGGCGCAATTGCACCATTAATGTAACACCTGCAGCTGCACCTCTGCTGTTTGAGATCCTCCCTTTGGTTTCTTTCTTTACATTAATTTAACCCTTTCCTTACTTAATATCAATGTGTCTGATCTCTCCTTAAAATCACATGAACATGAAACAGACTTAC